TCTCAATACGTTCAACGTATTCTTTATTCGCAGTCAATTCACTAAGATCAGACGCACCGATCGTTACTAAAATCTCCGAATCCTCGTTAGATTTCCTTCTCTTTTGCATAGCTTCTTCAACGACGTCAGTTTCATAATGTATAATATTCATGTCCACTTTCAACGGTTCCCAATTTCTATTTCCTGGTAACACATCCACCTCTCCAAGATTTGCTTCGAACGAGATACGTTGACGTAGGTGCTCCGCTCGAAGTAGTTGCGATATTCTGTGCAGGATACTTGGTAGTAACTTTGACTGCAGCCAAAGGCAACCGGGCACATCTTGCTTGGTGCAGAGCTCAGGAATCAAATGCATTTCCGTATCCTCGAATTCGGCTTCTCTGGTACGTTTCTTGCTATTTCCGCGCGGCATTAAACAATTCAGACGTGACGATATTGCTTTCACCTTTAGCAGTGGTTGATTGGGATACATAATATTTGTATCGTAATATTTCTCCTCGAAATAATCTTTGTAGGTAAGGAAATCCTCATTGGGAAATTTACTATCTGCACTCAGATATTCGCAAACTTCAAGCACGACATACTGCTTATCTTCCATGCGATACCAAGGAATTACGATATTTCCCTTATACTGATCAAGGTTCTGCATATCTAATACTAACCGATCACCTGATTTCGGTACAACCGAAAAATCTTTAATGGATTTATACGTATTGATCACCTCAAAACGCCTCTTATCCTTGGAAACCAGAACAAGAACCAATAAATATATATAAGGATTGTACAAACGTTACATTGATGGATATTTGTTATTATAGTGCATTTGTGAATGAACCACTGGTATGCAACGAATCATCCATGTTCGAAGACGTTCAACTACAGCCAACTAGAAATTTGGCTATTAATTTTAATCAAACTTTTGAGCATAGACCCATAAGACTGCTAGAAGTACGAGAAAAACAAGAAGCGGAGCTAGCTCAGATATATCAAGCACTCGCTACGGCCAAATGCAGAGACATCGTAAATTTAGAGAGATTGGAGACATTGGGTGATTCGTACCTTAAGTTAATTGCTTCCATGTATATATTTTTTAAATTCCCTTCTCTAAATGAAGGCGAATCTACTGTACTGAAGGGTCGTTTGATAAGCAACAGGAATTTGTTCTACCTTAGCCGTGACAAAGGCTTGGGATCTCTGGTGAAGGTGTCTGATTTCTCGCCGACGGCCGAATGGCTACCACCCGGTTACTGCGTTCCATCCGAAATCACCAAACTAGTCTTGGACAAGCAACTGCCGATAACAGCTTTATTCAATTTTTGTCCTAATCGTGACGAACAACTTTCGGGCCAATTGAGTGATGAAACATTTAAAATGCTGGAACCACACAAATGCAACGTCGACGATGATTTGGATAAGAGCAGTTTCAGTTCGTTCTGCAATTTTCTGGCTAAACAATCTATAAGAGATAAAACCGTAGCTGACGTTACTGAAGCTCTAATCGGAGTTTACTTCAGTAGCTGCGGATTCGATGGCACGTTTTTATAGTAAAACATTGTTTAATACATCAATTAAATTCATTTTTTTCTCGTAGGTGCTCTGAACTTCATCGAATGGTTGGGACTAATACCAAAAACTGAAGAGATTGCGAAACTTTTCAAGCAACCCCCATTAAATCCAATCGTGAATCCGAACGCGACTGAAGCAAATTTGGATATTCTTCTAACAAGGTATACTCAGAAATCTGTGGAGGATATAATAGGGTATAAGTTCAACAATCGAGCTTTCCTGTTGCAAGCCTTAACGCATGGTTCGTACTCAGCGAATCGCATTACTTTATCTTACGAACGTTTAGAGTTCATCGGAGATGCTGTCTTGGATTTTCTGATCACCACATACATCTACGAGAACTGTGAAAATTTAGATCCGGGCAAGCTTACCGATTTGAGATCGGCCTTGGTAAACAATGAAACGTTTGCAGCGTTCGCAGTAAGACTGAACCTTCACAAACATCTAAAATATTACAGCTCTGTGCTTAACAATCATATACAAAAATTCGTCAAGTACCAGGAGGCGAAAGGAAATGTTGTCAATGACGATGTATTGATTTTATTGAATGAGACAGACTTAAAACTTGTCCAACACGTTGATGTTCCGAAAGTTTTGGGCGATATCTTCGAATCCATGGTGGGAGCGGTTTACCTGGACAGCGGTATGGATTTAAACGCTGTGTGGAAGGTGGTTTACAAAATAATGTGGAAGGAAATATCGCAATTCTGTGCGAATATTCCGAAAAGTCCAATTAGGATCTTGATGGAAACTCTAGCACCGCTTTATCCGACATTCCAGTAAGAATGATACTCGATGATAAATAAGTTTTCGTAAAATTAATGTTCCCTTTAATATTTTTTTAGCTCTGCTGTTAGTGTGGGGGGCGAAATGGTGATGGTGAAATTGGATTTCATGCTGAGAGGAAGTCTGACGAGGGTGCACGGCTTCGGACAAAACAAGAAGGGCGCCAAGAAAGCTGCTGCCAAGATCGCACTAAGGCTATTGACTCCAAAATAAAAAGTATAATAATCATATACTTATTTATATTATAGAAATCATTTTTTGTTACAAACATACATATATAGATATATATACATATTTTATTTACTGAGTTTTTCTCTTTTTCGACGGTTTCTCGAACACCTGCCGAACGCCTCCGGCCTGAGACGCGTGGAATTTCAAGTTTTGAGCGGTCTCGCTGGACCAGGGCGAATCGAACTGCGTTGTATCTTGGTCGACCAGATGTGTATACTTGGTGCGCCCGGAGCGACCGAAGTTTTTCACTTGCATGACTTTCGGGAATACGGTCTTGTCGAAGTGATCCTCTAAAGTTGCTTGTGAGAAATCCCTCTTATATACATCGTCTTCGCTGTCCAGATAGAAAGCACCACGATGATAGTATTTCTGCAAGAACTTATACTTTCCCTTCGTTGCCTTATTGGTGACCGTCCTCGGGTTCATTCGTAGCTCCGCCCTACGCTCCTCTTCTGTCAAGTTTCGCAACCGTTCGATCTCTATCCTTTCCTTTTCCACACTGCAAGAGAAACGACAGATTAATACATTTAAATCAACCTGACTCAATTGTTACAAAACTTACCCTTCTCTTTCTTCGCGGTCCCTTTTAACGCGTTTCAGCTCCCTAAGTTTCCATGCCTCGTATTCAACCTCGTCATTTTCGTCATCCGTGCATACATCGTTAATATTAGGTTCGTTTGTATCCTTATCCTTAACTTGTTGTTCCTTCTTAATGCTATCTTCTACCATTCTCAACGTCTGCTTTCGTCTCTCCTCCACACTCTTTTGCACTTCAATCTCCATCTGTTTTTCAGCCTGAGCTTCTTTCTCCTTTTCAATGACAGTGATCCTGTCCCGTTTTCTCACGAACACAGGTTTCAACCTAGGTCCAGTCTCCTCCTCGGAATCAGTGTACTCCTCGTATTCCGAACTGTCTCCTGAATCGGAATCATCGGATTTTTCCTCCTCTTTAGCCATCACCTCATGCTCTTCCTGCTTTACCAGCATTCTCTTTCGAAGCATCTCACGCTTCTTCTCTATCTCGCTATCGCTCAATTCCGCTTCAGATTCATCATCATCAGGAGCCTCTAGCATATGCTTAGGCTCTAAAAAAAATATAAAATAATACAAAATATTTAATGGAAAAAATGTACAAGGTAATAATTACCTGGCAGCTGTAAGTTATCCTCCTCCTCATCATACTCATCACCACTGGGCTCTAAAACTTCTGGCTCAACAATGTGCCTGCGCCTCTCTGGTCTCACCTCAGTATCAGCATCCCTAATCCTCAGTCTCCTCAATCTGGGATCATTCAATTCCTCTTCATCACTGTGATGTGGCTCCGGGCTTTGAGCTTTCTGTGCAGCCAAACTCCTTTTCTCCAGAAAGTCCTCATCATCACTCTCTGTGTCTGATTTTCTGTCTTGTGCATAGTCAGGCCTCTTACCAGATACATATCTGTGGACCTTAACTTTTTGCATGGTAATTTCACCTGAAAGATTTTTTTTTGTCAACAAATTGTTTCATAATGTTAGTCAATTAGAGAACTCACCCTTCTCATTTCGAACTGGAACGGCCCCAGCCGTACTTTGTATTCCAACAACAGTAGGTGCGTTCATCTTTCAGAACATTATCCACTGGATCCAAATAATAACACTACACTATTTGTTTGTGGTATCACAAACTAGGTTAGATTTCGATTAGTGACAGTTGTTCTTGGTTTAGTGATATTCAGAGCTGCCAATTGCTTCTGTGGCTGGGTTGATAGATCTTTTGAAAATAATTACGAAAAGAAAAATTGTATGCCGTTGTGTGTGTACTCAGGTATGCAGTGGTTGTTTTAAAAGGTGAACGAAAGGGTGTTTAGAGTAATAGATTTTGGTATTTGCAGTGGGGGAGGTTACGGTCTTCGCTCAAGACATCCAAGTCTGCTGGCGACTTCAGCTCGTGCGGTGGCCAGTTAGCGAGAGACCACCTGTTGGAGAGCAGCGTTCTGTTTGCTTTTCCCCTTGTCCAGTCGGCGACGCGTTCTCAGTTTCAAATTTTGTTTAGTTTTTTGGAGTGGACGAGAGGGCTGACTTTGCGGAAAGCGAATCTCACTTATTTTCTTTTTGGTATATGTGAAACTCGGTGGACCGCAAAAGTGAGGAAAAGTGCGAGGGCAGAGCCCAGCACAGCAAAATTGTGTCGTTTTGGATTATCTGGAAACTGCACAAAATTCGGTGAAAGGTGAGAAGTTCATCATCATCTACTGTTACCTTTTTTCCTCTTCTTCTTTTAGTTCATTGTAAAATAACATAAACGAAATCTCCAAAGTTCTGTAGATTAACTAAATTAAACTCTTATTAGTTGCACCCATTCTAGTGTTCTGTTTACATGCCTCTCGCACTCGTCCTAATCCACTTTCTCCCTTTCCAGGTATTCGGGGTTTCTTTTTTTTTTCTCTCTTTGGTTAATTAGTTTTTAGGATGGATGTTGGGGCAGACCCGATGTGCGTTTGTTTTGGTTCGGTTGGACGGAAGAAAGTGTGTTTGATGGATGAGTGGATGTTTCCCCTCCGCTTGTTTTTGGAGCGTGCGGAGGTAGTCCGGCCGTTCTCTTCCCACAATGGGAATCACAATAATAATATACCATTGAATGCACAATTGAAAATTAGCGAAATCGAAGACAACAGAAAAACCGGGACATTCTGCAATGTCGTTGACCTGTCAGCAAAGCACGTGACTTCACGTAGCAGATACATATACACACGTGTGTATATCGAAGAATTGCTACATGGCTCTAATTTCATTATTTGCTGATCCTCTTCAGCAGAAGAGATGCAGATGCGAAGAAGTGAGAGATGGAGTGTGCAACTTTGAAAGAATGAAAGAAACACCTTTGCATAACAGCGCATTAGTTTTTTTGGTTTGTTGTCGTTATTGTTATTGCTACAATGACAAGCCTCCAAGAACAACAGCCTTCGCAGTTTCGCTGGCATCCAAAAGGAAAGAAACCCAACACCTATCCGTACTGAGCGTGTGTACATGCATGCACACATACCTGGAAGCCGCCGTCGCCAAGACTAATAAGAAACAAGAATTCGCCGCGCCCACGATATTATTATTACTTTTTGCCGTTGTTTGTTGTTGCTGGAACTGCGAAGGAAAGAAGAAAAAAAAAGGAACGTCGAGGGTCTATGCACAATCGCGCACCAAATACACAAGACCCATTGTCTGTGCCAGCCTCGATATGAGCAAGAACGGTCCACGCCTGTCGCCTTTGACGATACACTGTCATACATCATTTACTTCTAAAATATACCACTCTTACAGGATGAAGCATATTATATAGTCAATGAGAACAGTCGTTGATGACCAAATACGAGATTTAAGTAAATCAAAGGCAAATGAACTGTTTCCACATTTAAGGAATGGGCGAATTCGATGAAGAGATATAAACATGAATCATTCCAACAACAAGAATCCACGATATTCATATTATTACTACTAACAATCATGAAAATATTCATTGTCTATATAAGAACTTAGTTTATTAAGATCAATTCGAAATTTATTTGGTCGTTGAGAATGTATTACTTTTCCAAAGATTTATTCTGAAACAAGATTCGGTTTGCGTCTTAAATTTGTTTCATTAATATGATTCGTTTTATTATTTCAATACGCAGTGGAAATGGTTTTCTTATTGTAATTAATCTGCGTTTGATTTGCATAAACATAAACGTTCCCAATGTTACAAGGGGACGAACACATTCAGTACCATCTCTTATTTGGTCATCAACAACTGTTCTCATTGACTGCAACATCCTGCATCCTGTTATGCTTACTTCGGTTGACTACACCATTCCTGTCAGTCTTTATATTTAGCGTTTGCATGTACTAGACAAAATAAAGGAGCAACAAGATGAACACTTTGTTAATCCATTTGAAACTAATTCAAACGTTTATTTACATTGATAATATTGAATCATACATTTATTTTAGATATAATGTAAGTTATGAATGAAAAATTATTTACATCCGGTTATTATTACAGTTATGTGATCAGTATATTATTAAGATTATCTAAATACGAAGATTGACAGATCTTAAAGGTAGACAGAATTCTTAATAATGTTTCAGTTGTTGAGATGTTGTCAAATAGATTTATAGTTAACACTTTCGATATATTTATCTATTGTTTCCATTTAAACATCCTCTTATATCTTCAGTTCGTGTTTTACCAAGCAATGATATATTTCTTGGTCTTTTCTATAAGATTGTCCATATGATCGACTCGATGTTCGTTTCCCATCCATAATTGAACGTCCAAGGATATTGTTAAATTCGACTTATGCAAATGATCTTATCCGCTCGTTAAAAATTTGATATTTCGTTTCTTCAACCAATGGCAATCGAGTTATTTAAAATTCTTCTTTTGTTTCTGTTAATTTGATATTTAAAACAAGAAAAAAAAATGCCATATCATATTTGACTTTCTAAAAAAGAAAACAACAAAACTTTCGATACGAATCTTAAAGTGCGAACCAGAACTACAATAACAACGATAGTAGCACTGCGAATAGGAGTTTCGTTTTATTTTACCAGTGATAAACATTGATTTACATTCGCGTCCATTGCGCAACCGGTTTTTTTTTAAACATAAATAATCTCAATGCCATTGCCAATTATTCAACTAACACGCAACTTCTTGTTTTGTTTGTGTTTAAATTAAAGTTTCCTTTGGTTTGAATCATCGGAATTACTGCCAATACCATATTTGGTTATTTCTTTTTGGGATGATATTGCTTCTCTATCTCAAGAAGTAGTGAAAGTCGAATCCCCGAAATGACCTTTTCGTTTTCTAACCGTGTCTGTCCATAATATATTCATTTTTAGTTGCTAGAAGTTCATTATTTTTATTATTAGTGTTTCATTTTTATTGATGTTGTTGTTAGCGAAAGTATCTCGTAATGTTAATGAATACACGCATCATCGAGTGGGGCCGACGATTCAATTGTTCCGCGCGAAAATCGGCGCTGGTAATTGCGACGGTTCGACGTGTGATTACGTGTGTTGATGTGTCGTAACTGGGGCTGCTGGGACGACTACTTCTTTCTGGCCCCCGATGGTCGTAGTCCGCTGCATACGCGGAGGTGAGGTTTCTCACCGCGCGATTTCTTTTCCTCGTTTCGTAAACGCGCAAATTGCATATGATTTACGTAAATTGCACACTCACTTACTTGGAATTGCCATTTCTTCATACACTCACACACACGAGCTCTTCGACTCGTTTATTTTATTCTTTTTTTTTCTTCTTCTTCGTTCATATATGTTTTTTTATCCTTATTTCCTGGTATGAAATTCTTCTTTTGAAATCGGATCATGTAATGAAGAATCCCGATTCAATTAGCTGTTAACACTGGTAAAACTTGATCGGCATCAGGAGATGCGTGCGAATCGGATTGCAACATGATTTATATCATTATATAAGTGCGAGAGAACAGCATCCAATTTGCATACTAGCTGTGTGAAGCAACTGGTGGACCTTTATTAATATCCTCGTAAATACCACGAAACGTAATTGTAAATGGAAACAAACTATTGTTTGCAATCTGCTCTTGATATTTTCAGAAACGTTCTGTATCTCCTCCGCCCATTCTGCGCACTTTTCAATCTGAATGCAATTACACAATACTTCATTTTACTCTCAAGAATTGACGGACAGTTTCTTCTCACAATGGAAAGTGTACAGCATGTTCAATTCTTCCTCAAACATTGCTTTGTTTTCTATACAATCACTGCAAATATTTTGCTTGAAATCTCTTTAAAACTCTCCATATTTATTATTTACAAATGTAAATATGCACTGATTATAAAACGTAAATTTTTCTTACTTTTGTTTTGTATTTGGTAAAATCTTAATCTTTACTACAACTCATTCATATTTTATTTGACTTCTTGTATTTAGTGTTTACAAACTACATTTTGAAATCTCTTTAAAAGTCAGAACTTCTATATTTAAATCATAATATTTATACTGTTTAAAATATATCTTTAATGGACTAATTCTTCTTCAAAGTAAAGAAATACATCTTTAGAATCTGCAAAATATATTGAGTTTACTTAAGCTTTACGTAAGTTCTGAAGTTGAATTGAAGCTATTGTATGAATAAAATAGAAAATTATCAAAATTTAACTATTATAAGTTAACAAATATTTATATTATTAATTACTTTAGTTCTAAATAATATTTACCATTCACTTCTAAATATTAAGTTTTATTTAGTAATAAAGTTACAGACGTCTTTGACATTTAAATGATTTCATCAAGTTGACTTTTCATGATCGTTTCTCACGAAATACTTTTACAAATTTTCATAATATGATTATTTTACGTTATCAACTCTTTTTTGCCTACAACATCCTGTTTTTCATCCTTCAGTTGACTACAATTGTTACTAAATATGTAGATACACTGATTAGTACACCAAAAATAGTGATTGTTAGGTCATGGCTATAAAGGAAAGAAAGTGATTAAACTTAGAGTTTACACTGTGACTAGTTAATTAAATATTAAATTTTGTAAGAATTGAAACAATCAATAAGATAACAATTAATGCGACTTCTTATACCTGTTTCATATAACTTTTGTTAAATGAGTAAATATGTTTTGATTAAAGAAATTTGCTGAAACAGTTAAAGATTATTATTAATTAAGGGTAGGATGGGATTGAATTAATTTGATCACCTCCGCGAACACCGGACTTAATATATATATATAAACCAGATTCTGTTATCAAGTTATTTCATTGGCAGGACGGGCAACTCCATTACCGCAAATGCAGTTAGGTTCGAAGCTAAATTGGAGATTGCAGATCGTTGATTAAAAAAAAAAGAAGAAATAAACGCGAGTGCCGTAAGGATTACATAAAATACTTACATATATAAATTTATATGTAAGTATGTATTTATATAGGCGTTGTCCTGTGTTTTTTTTTGTTCTTTCCTTTCATTTCTTTCTCTTTCTTGTTTCTTCTGCTGGATTCTTTTCGTTTCCGAGGCTGCTCTCCGCTCAGGAAATGCGAGTCCCGTTCGGTGCATTCGTGAATCAATGAATTTGAATTGTGCGGACTCGCTTCGCGGACTCGCGGATCCGGGTCCATGCAGATCTGTTGCGTAATTACATTTTTGCTACTACCCATCATCATCAACAATATCAGCTTTGTCGATGATTCGATTGTGTTTCGT